AGAGAATAACCAACGAGGCACGAGTGATTACAGGAAATATGCCCGAGTTGAAATAATGTTCACAGTGCCGAGCCTTGGCGAGGCACTGAACATTAATTTAACGAGGGCATATTTCCTGTAATCATTCGTTGGTTATTCTATTTATTACCCATAATGTAATTTAAAAGGAAGAACCACGAAATAAAAACCACCCGGAGACAGGACTTGTGACCTCAAACAGCACTCTCCTACCCAGAGTTCCATGCACGTATCAAACCTAACTTCTCCAGCGATAATAATATAACTACGCTATGGAAATAGTACATCATAAAATCGTTATAAAATACAACAAAATTATTATGCCTGGAATAATTAATTAACATTTATTAAAATGATAAAAATGATCTTTAAATATATCATTGAACTTAAAAAGAGCTAAACATTTATTCGATCAAGTCAGTGCGACGGAACATCGTTCATTCATGACTGACGTGTTTTCTAGTGGCGGGTGACGGTGTAGTGTTGAAACACACTCTGGCAAAAACCTGTCAATTTTTGGGAAAGTCAACGGTTAAAAGTTGGGAAATCTAAAAGACAACCATCCCACGAATACATCTAGAAAAAGTTTTCTGTCAAGAAACTCAACAAGTTTGAAGATTAAACAACATTTTGTTCTGTGGAAGGCGTGTTACACTCTCGTCTTAGTAGAGTACAGCAGTACCAAGAAGGATAACTCTAGTCGGAATCCGAGTCTATGAAATGTGTCAATCTCTGCATCGGCTACTGGGACCAACCTCTCAGATTGATTAGGAATGCATGGATATAAAAAGTCATCTTAAAGAAGAACATTTAGCATTGATTCCGGTAAGAAACTTGTCCGACTTACTTGTCACACCTTCAGATAACATCTTTATTCGGTATCTTGCTGTTTCTATTTCCACGAATTCAGTTTCAACAACAAACAGGTTTTGGGAATTCAAGGGCTGTAAAATTCTTATCACTCTTCCTATTTGGTCACCGTCAACTTTAACTAGGTAAGTGACCTTGATCGGGGTTAGCCTAATGGCGGCCATGTTTGTTTACAAACAATGCAAACGATTGTTTGGTGGGTTTTTTAAAGATTATATAATTTAAAAAGACTACTACTTATAACGCAGTTTTATTCCAAAATAATAACGTTTAATAAAAAGAATATTCAAATTCTTTAACCTTAATGTTTTCTTTTTTAGATCTCGGAATGTGTGATTACATTACTTAATGTCAATTTATCAATCAATCGATGAAACTTTATAAATGAACGTAGTGTGTGAAAGTAGTTCCGGCATCCAATGAAAATGTACAAATATATGATTAACCAATCAACGTCGAGAATCACTAAATTGCACACTGTGCAAATATCAAAAAGATATTACACGGGATCTCCTCACCCGTATGGGTAATAATAAGGCATTTCTAATGTGCATATATCCATACTGAAGTATGCTCAGAGTTCAGCAAAGTTGGAAAGACATCAGGAAAAGTTGAGTTTTCAGTTTTGATCGGAAGCTAGAGAAGTCACTGGTGTTCCGGAGAGAGAGGAAGATCATTCCAGACTGTTGAAGCTGCGTAGGCGTATGATCTGCTGCCATAGCGAACACTGTTTGCTCTAGGAACAAGCAGAAGGTTTTTGTCCTGAGAACGAAGGGATCTAGCTGGTTTAAATGGCATAAGAAGATTGGAGAGATAAGCAGGAGCTCATCCAGACAGGCAGCGGTAGGTGAGGCAGAGGAGTTTAAAGCGGATCCGGTTCTAGATTGGAAGCCAATGAAGAGATTGAAGAATGGGAGAGATGTGGTCAAACTTCTTCGATCTAGTCGCGACACGTGCCGCAGCTTTTTGGATTCGTTGAAGTCTCTGGATTTGTGATTTGTTTGCACCGGCTAGGAGAGAGTTACAACAGTCCAGGCAGGCCATTACATGGCATAAGGTGAGAGTTTTTGCCGAATCTATAGTCAGGTATTGCCTAATGGAACTGATATTGCGTAGAGCTGCAAAACAGATCCTAGAGAGGTTGTATGTGATTATCCAAAGAGAGGTCGGAGTCAAGGATGACACCAAGATCTCTTACTTTCTGTGAATACTTTCTCCATCAAAATCAAGAGCATCCAATGAGCACTGGGAGCAACGTTTTGCAGGACCCAGTAGAATGCACTCTGTCTTTGAACTGTTCAATTTCAACATGTTGTCAAACATCCAGCTCTTGGTTTCCTCACAGCACTGTTGTAGGTCATTCAAGGCGGGTGTTGCTTGATCCATAGTGAGTAGGAAGACTTTGTACATTTTAGGAATTATCAGCAAAGTGATGGCGATCAACATGGTGGGCTTCCATGATTTTCCCAAGATCTTTGATGTAAAGACTGAACAAGACCGGACCTAAGACCGATCCTTGTGGGACACCACAAAATAGATGAGCTGGATTAGAGTAATGATCCTCTATCAGTACTTGCTGGTGACGGGACGACAGATAAGACTTGAACCAGCATAGAGGTGTGCCATCAATGCCATTATCAGATAGGGTTCAAACCTGTTCCTGGGATTTCCTGAACTGTTCTGTGGGTAATTATGTTGCTAAAATCATTAATCAAACTCACTGCATGAATGAAAGCAGTTTCATTTGACATGCATGTGAAGCAGTATAAAAGCATTCGTGTGGCATACATGTAAAAATGCCTATCACATCCTGTCACACTCATTAACCTTTGAAGTAATTATGCGCTTAATATGCGATTTTTGTGACCTAAACAGTTTGCCTGGAATGTAATTCTGTCAACAAAAGGAAAAGATTCAGCCTTGCTTTGCACTTTGAGCAAAAATGCTTGTAAAAAGTAGCTCTTAACGCAAAAACTAAAAGTCGCTCCATAGGGGAGATATTAGCAAAAATATGAATTTTTTCCTTCAGCATTTCCATGAAATCCAACATTTTGAAATCCTGCGGTAACATTATTAATCAATATATTGTAAACTGAGTTCATTGTATGGATGGAGAATGATAAGTAAAACACTTTATAAAAAAATTGAATTTTGCACTCATTGACCTTTGAACCCAATTTGTGACCTAATTAGGGATTTTTGAGCTTAGCAAACAACAGATTCGTATTCAGCACGAAAAACTACCCCAGAAAAAGTTGTTTTCTTGCTTTTACTCAAAAATGCCCCATGTATTCACATTTCTGAGAAATTTGACTAGTCTATCCTCCAGGGCGCAGCCTATGCCTGAGTCTGCCGGCTGGCTTCGGCCGCTGGGCAGGGGTAGGAGGAGAAGCTGTCCCGGCCCGACCTTTTCTTGCTTTTACTCAAAAATGCCTCATGCATCCTTAAAATCCACATTTCTTAGTAATTTGACTAGTCTAGGAGGAACCCGCTACGAGAGAGTGGGGGCGAGAAGCCCACGGATGCTCCAACAAGGCCTTAGAGTCCTTGAAGGAGGTAGCTGCAGCAGCACGAAGGGCGACCAAAGTGAACACGCACTCCTCAACCACCGGCACCACTGGTACCTCTTAACGAGTTTGGGTAGATCGAATCGGAGGCGTGTCCCAACCAGGAGGGGATCCATCACGTCCTGTACCAGGGAAGGCAAGATACGGAGCAGTGTCTGCGAGGGTTGCCTAGGGGCAAACGCCTCGCCTGGCAGGTGGAACTCAGTTGAGTCCGAGCGACATGTCGGCACCGCGGTTTGGGGGTATATACTCAGCAATACATTGCCGAACCTCCCGGAGAGCTGATGAGAAACGGAAAGTTTCGCAAAGAGGATCCGAACCCCGACCCGGTGGGAACCCCGAGCCCCAGACACAGAGGAAAGGGAAGAGCCAAAGGAACTCTCCGCTCGAAGGAACTCTCTGCTCTGGCAACCGACACACTACTCGAAACCCGGTCCCGAGACACATGAGGCAGACTGGGCAGAGCCGACTCCTCCGCTCTCACGGGGCGGGATCGCGCAGGGAACAGAACCCCAGGAATCCTCAACGGAGAGGAGGACTGAGAGCGAACCCTTCCCCTCCGGGGTAGCCGAGGCTGTCTGGACCCGAAGGCAAAGGATTGACAGCCGCTTCCAGGCTAAGGGATCGAGCCGGGCTCAGCGATCCCACCCCCGGACTCTTGGTCCCCTGTTCAGAGTGGGTGAGGAACTCCTAACGAACACCTCCAACGGACTCATGAACCAGGGACTTCACGGAGTCCATATGCTGCTAAAACAATTGAGTGATCATGGACATATCAAAACCACTAGATTGGGAATGAGATTGGGAATGCGACTTTGAAGACTTAGCCTTAGTTTGTTTGGCTTTTTTGGCTTTGGACGGGGGGACCTCCTGGGTAAGTTCCACACCTGCCTCACGGGGGGAAAAGGCCATACAGAGTTCGCACACATCAGGGTTATGTCCCACCTTCTCTAAGCAGCACAAAGCATTTATCATGCTTGTCGGCTCTAGGGATATTCTGCCCACAGACAGAACACCCAGTAAACGCCTGAAAGCAAACACACAAGCATGTAGCTAACCACCGGAACCAGCAGCATAAACATACACGTACAAAACATTGAAAATTACGTTAATGCGACCATGGGACATGAAATAATTGGTGAATAACACAATATGACAACCACGTGGCATGCTAAGCTTCCCGCCATGGAAGAGCAACACGTGCATAAACCATGGGAAAGCTAGCGTAAAAGTTTAATAATACAAAGTCACATAAATGAGAAATAACAGACTGCAAAGTCAATTAAACTGTTCTTTTTCTTTTGCAAGAACGAATATAGACCATACATACAGTAGTTGAAGTCTCAGACATTCTTTCACAATGGAAGTAATCAGCTTAACAACTCGGAACAAGTGTGAACACTTGAGTGACAGCAGAAGGAATGATGATACGGGCTGCGCATGCGTAGCAGGGACGTAACTCCACCTGGTGGGGGCCATATAATGGATAAAAAAGATTTTTAATTATTGTACAATATTTTATTAAAACATTGATACAACTGTCACATGACATTTCCAGCCGCAGAAAATGCATATATGTACCCAAAGGTCGATCTCTATGAAAAAGAATGGCTGATGCGTGTCTTTGTTGGTTAACATTTGGTTCACTTACAGGATGCAGGACCCGTGAAGATCCGCGTTAGAATTGATCTTCAGCAACCCATGCTTGGCGTGAGAGGCAATTAACGGGATCAGGTGGTCAGGCTCGCTGACTGGGTTGACACATGTCATCGTATCCCAAATGCATGGATCGACGTTCATGCTGTTGATCCCTGCATTGTCTGGTCCAGACTCGATTATTTACAGACCGCCGCCATATGGCTTGCATATTGCTGAGTGCGGGGTAAAACTAAACTTACTCACTCACTCACAGGATACAGAAAGTCAAGATTAATTATATCTGTTACAATTGGCATGGACTGAGACTTCAGTTTTATACTCTATCATGTTCTACCCTGATAACATCAGGTACAAGTCTGTTGGTATCTATACTCTACCCTCTGCTTGTTCAAATTCCACCATAGCTGTTCCATCTTCTCTGTTAATCACATTGACAACAGGACCTCCACCAGATCTGCGTTGGTTCTCGAAGTATAGAGCGATGCTGTCATTGGTGATTGTGGCAGGTAGTCCTCCTACTTTAACCTTGTGAGATGGAGTGATATCTAGAAATATACAATGGCATAAGTTAAGTACAAAATGGATAAGAATATCCTTTCAACCTTAACTGTCTATATTCATCTTTATTCCCTTATGATGTTTTAAGCAGTAAATATTGCCACACATTCCTCATTACCTTACTAAATAACATTACTAAAATGTAATAACATTACTAAAATGAAATGCACATACTAAGAATGTAAACATACTGAATAACCTTGAACCTTTAACCATTGGAAACGAATATGTAATTTTCTGAATAAAATTGATATTTTATACTTATCCTGACTCATGCGTATTGCTTGCGAATGCTAGTGGAACACTTGAATCCCCCTTTTGAAGCTCCCTTCAAAAGAGCGGACGTAAAATCACTTACCAGGAGTCATCTCTCTTCCCAAGGTTTTGGCGGGAAACGGCGCCAACCGTCACCCATGCTCCCCACTCTCTCCGTATTTTACAGCCCGACACACAGATTTACCGGGAAATTCAGAGTGCCTTGAGGGGAGGTTGGGAGGGCTCACCTCATGAGTCAGGATAAGTATAAAGTATCAATTTTATTCAGAAAATTACATATTTTTCTTTATCCTGACTCATGCTTATTGCTTGTAGAATCCAACAGAGTTGGTGGTGGGTCAGGCCACTTCTGGATTCTTAGTGATGAATTTACGTCCTATTTACCCCCCATGGGAACTTCTGATGGCACTGCTGCTGCTGCTGATCCATATTCTCTGATGAATTTGGGGGACCACAACTTATCGATTCTGTCTTCTGTCGACATATGTGTGGATTTAAGCAACACCAACTCTTGATGTTCGTATCAAGTGGAGCAGTGACCCTATCCATGTACAAGGGATTCCTTACAAGTACGGGGTCTAATATTCATGCTAGTCTGTTCTAGACGTGTACATGGACTATAAGCTCTATTCCATGGAGTATGCGCTTTGCAAGACATGCGATAAAAGGGCGAGATTCATCTCAGTGCCTTTGCGGGACCGTCAGTTGTTGTGCTACAACCAGAGGTCCAAACTAGTGAATACCGGAGATGTCCTCTGTAGCGATATCTCAGAGGTAGTGGTTAGCAAATACAATCTCCGATTTCCAAAAACACCCTTCCATGATCGTGGATATTGAGCAGTTTCCATGTAGAGCAAGTGTAGATGCCAATGCTCTAACTTCATGAGGATTGGAGGCTCGTGGAGGCTCAAGTCCTGCTGCCTTGTAGGTTCGAAGTATGATTGCTCTCATCCAAAACTGATATCGTAGTGCGTGAGATCTCTGTGGGTGTCTCCGACGATATGGGGATGAAAAGGCATTTGAATTTTCGTCTCCTGTTTTTAGACTTTTGTAGATATATTTTCAGTGCTCTGACTGGGCATAAGGATAGGTCCTGTATATCCCGTGGCCCAAGGATTGTAAATAATGCTGGGATGTGGAATTGTCTGTCTGGTTGACCTGGCAGTTGATTCTTAGCTATGAAATCCCATCTCAATCCCAGATGAACTATGTTGTGATGTGTATCAAAACGTATTCGTTCGGAGTCTGGAGCATGTATTTCTGACATCCGAGCTGCTGTTGCCAAGGCGATCAGAAAGATGTTCTTTCTAGGCGCGACCAAAATCAGTTGCAGGTTCCTCGTCTGCCTGATTTTCTGTAATACTTGTGGTATTATCGCTGGAGGAGGGAACGCGTAGGCGTTATCCTTCCCACGGGATGCTTAAAGAGTCTGTTGCCCATGCTTGCGGATCGGGAATTGGAGAGACGATTGTTGCCAGTTGATTGTTGAATCTTGTGGCAAATAGATCTATGAGTGGAGATCCCATCGTCTGTATGATGAATCTAAATGCTTCTGAATGTAACATCCATTCTGTTGGGGATGGTTGATGTGGTCGAGATAGTGCATCTGCTATTACATTCTTGGCTCCTGGAAATTGGCATGCTTTTACATAGATGTTTAGTTCGTCTATTATGTTGAAGAGCTGAAAGCTGAGGTCTAGAAGATTCCAAGATCTTGTTGATCCTTGTTTGTTTATGTAGAACGCCACTGTTGAGTTGTCCGTACAGATCATCAATTTTGCGTTCCTTAGTATGTTGGACCAATGTAGTAGGGCATTTACTACTTCTTTCATCTCGAGCATGTTGATATGCAGATTCATTTCTTGTTTCGACCATTTCCCGGCTGCCACTTCGTTCTCGAGGTGTGCTCCCCATCCTTAAAGTGATGCATCTACGTAGAGGTGGATGTTGCACTCCGGCTCTACTAAGTAGTTTCCTCCGCAAACATTCGACTTCTGAGTCCACCATAGTAGACATGGTTTTAGTCTGTCTGGTAGTCTGAAGGGGTCCAGACTGTGTAAATGAGCGTTCACAAAAATCTGTAGTGGGCACAGTTGTAGTCTTCCTCTGCGCGTCATGTCTTGAGCTGACGTGAGGAGACCTAATAGGCTCTGCCATTCTCGTAGTGGTAACGGAGAGAGTAGAACTTGAGAGATCATTTGTTGTATCTTGATCCAACGATCCTCTGGAACGAGTATGCGGTTCTCCGCTGTAATAAGCTGCATTCCTAGGAATTGTAAATCCTGAGTAGGCTCTAGTTCCGACTTGAGGAGATTCACTAGCCATCCTAGTTGAGTGAGAAGTCTGATGGTGAAGTTCAATTGCAGTCTGAGTTGACTGGGAACTTGATGAACTTGAATCCCGTCGTCTAGGTAGAACGCACTGCGTAGATCTCGAAGATGTAGATATATACTGATGGGCTTTGTAACTCGAGTAAACAACCAGGGGGCCGACGATATTCCAAATGGCAGGACCTTCCATTGGAAATGACGTTAAACAGGAATCGAAGATATTTCCTTGACTCCGGATGGATCTGGATGTGTAAGTATGCATCCTGTAAGTCTATGCTGGCGAGGTAGTCTAGCGGACGTACGAGATGTCGTAGTTGAGGTAGATGTATCATCCTGAACTTTGTGGGTGTTAACAGTATCAATAGACTTGATCATCATCACCTCTCTGGAGTCTTTAGAGACTTCTTTGGTGACCTCATCAATTTCTCCTGCGAAGATGGATGGCGCTGACCATGGGGCTCTGTAGAGTGTCTTGGTAAATTTCTCGCTCCAAGTACAGGAAGATAATAGTCCTTGCCTTCTTGATAGCGTAAAGCCTGCAGAAATGGATGCTAAGTGTTTAGACATGAACTCATGATCCTTTTTCTGTGTAAGTAGTGCTGAATAAACCATTCGATCTTCCTCTGAAGTTGAGTTTCTAAACTTCGAGATGAGGGTCTCGTTGACAGCTCTTGACCTGGCTAGGTCGAAGAAGGTTCGTCTGGTTACTGTGTCTAACTGTGCTAGCTTTTTATCCTCTATCTTGTAGGATTTCATTCGAGCGTCGTTGATGATTTTATAGTTCTCGTCTATTTCTGGGGCCTTCATGAAGGGTTCCATATGGTGTAGAGAGAACTTCTTTGCGTTAAAAGACGGAATACTCTGAGTCTGGTATTTAGTTGCCTTCTTAAAGGCTGTGCTGAGGTTGTCTGGAACATCTGAGACAGGGTCGATAGGTGGAATAGTGAGTGTGTCTATATCATCATTCAACATCAAATACGAGAGTGCTTCATTGGCCTCCTTAGAGGGTGATGCGAGTTCCAAACCGTTGGCCATCCATGACTTGATCTCTGAGTCGGAAAAAATAATTCCGCCGCCATCTTCCGATTTAGCAGTATCATGCTCTGAGGATTGACGTCGTCTAGAGTCGTCTGTGCGTGGAGATCTGTATGAAGATCTATGTGGTGACCTGCGTGGTGATCTACATGGAGACCTGCGTGGTGACCTTCGTGGCGATCCATACGGCAAACGCCTCTGGCGAGGGTTGGAGTCTTGCGACGAATCTCTGTGCCTTCGCACAGGTGTAGATTCTCTTCTTGATAACAAACCCTTGCGTGCAGGTTTGTGACGACTGTCCGCATCTGAAGTAGATGACGATCTGCGCGGGTTCGGCGAACGTCTTGTCCTTGAGGGTTCGCTGAACGTAACTGGTGTAGGCTCTTCGTTGGTAGGACTGCCAGACCTTCGTGCGGACGTTGTAGTCATGCTGGAATCTTCGTGTAAGCTTCGCAGATTGTTGGTTTCCACAGGACGTGATGTGCAGGTCGGTTGTCCTTCACGCAGGTTCGTAGCAGACGGAGTCTTCGTCGCAGCTCTCTCTTGTGCGAACCGTTGTTCCATCAAGTCCAACATCTGTTGGGTGAATTGCTGCATAAAGGAGCCCGGGTTGAAGCTCTGCGTTGTCTGCTGCTGCAGTGATGACACATCTGAGAGGGACGAGGCTTCCTCCAAAGGGCGCTGTACCTCTCTGGAGCCCGGTGTCTGCGTTGATAGGTTGTCCTGCGTGGCCCTCATCTTCTTCTAAGTTGTGATCTCAGGGATGAGGATTGGAGGCTCATCGTAGACATCTATTTCCTCAGGAGGGACGATCTCAGATGAAAAGGACCTCGTTTTCTGCGTTGCCGCGTGTGGAGACTTCGACAAAGTCTTAGATACAGCTGACTTCTTCCTCTGGGAAGACGATGCCTTAGTCTTCTTGGACTGCGATGAGGAATTATCAGATGTAGATGATCTCTTCCTCGAGCCAGAGTTGTTGTCTATGACAGCAACATCCTCCGCTGACGACCCCGGTAGACCACTGGGATGGTGAATCTGCGCAGACACCAACTGCCGGTCCTCTGCAAGCTTAGCCGGTTTAGACATGTCATGTAAATCTCGTCTGGACTTGTCCCTTGCACGTCTAAACAGTTAATATGAATATTTATAAAATTCAATTTCAGACAGGCGAAAACACAACTGACAACGAGAGCCAGATGAACATGCAGGCTTGCAATTAGGACATAGTTTATGTGGGTCAACAGCAGACAATCTGTACCTGCAACGAGTGCAAGATTTCACCAATTGTAAACAATCTGAACAATCACTTAAAAACGTGACAAAACAGAGAAAATTGAGAAATAATTTCAAACCATATTGTTGGGTAAATGTTTCCTAAAGTGAGTGAGTTTAGTTTTACGCCGCACTCAGCAATATTCCAGCTATATGGCGGCTTCCTAAAGCCTTATAAAACTAATTTAGAAGTAGAGCCTAAATAGGAAAAGGATATAATGCCGTATAGGGGACCCAGGCGCTCTCACAACCGTCCACTCGGGCGAATCAGGAGAGCGAGGAGCATGAGTGACAGGTGGCGCCGTTTCCCGCCAAAACCTTGGGAAGGGAGATGACTCCTGGTAAGTGATTTTACGTCCACTTTTTTGAAGGGAGCTTCAAAAGGGGGGATTCATGTGTTCCACTAGCATTTGGAAGGAAAGGGAGACAAGCAATAAGCATGAGTCAGGATAAGGAAAAATAGTGAATATAATAATTGCTGACTTGTGATGTCTTACATATACAAAAATCTCCAGACAATGCTAACAATAATTTCTGAATGAAACAATTTAAGGAGAGATGTGAAATAACCTTCAAAGAAACCTTGACATTTGACATAACCATGACATTATGACAGGTGTAGATATGGTTATCACATGTCAGTCTGCACATTCAGCGATGGGGAAATACATTGCCTTTATGAATTAAATGAAAACGTCACAAAAGTTTATCAATGTTTCCTACAATAACTCCAGTGACCTTGACTTAATACTTAGGTCTCTCAAAAGTCCATGGTATTGTATATTTTTTATCATCAGATATGTCAGAAAAGAAATATCCTGTGAAGATGTAAAGTTCAGGTCATTCTGTGTCCTTTGACCACTTGTGGAGAATGCAGGTTGTGGGCCTGTCTGTCCACTTGTCTCCACACCTTGCTGGGGGGAGATTCTGCTGCTGACATCCGATAGGCTGTGGGTAGTGCTGCTGACCATAAGGATCAGGCCATCTAAAGAAGCCACCAGTTTGTGGATTAATATACCCACCATAACTATAATTGTAACAGCCAAACCTTGGATCATAAGGTGGTATATTAGTGTATGGATTCTCCCCTCCTTGTTGAGGGTAGTGATAGGGATAGCCTTGCTGTCCTTGACCAGGCCCCTGCCAGTGCTGACCTGGGTGAGGATATTGGGGCACCTGTTGACCGGTGTGTCCATGCACTTGTGTACTGGTGTGCTGGCCACTGTCCTGAAACTGTCCTGGCTGACCTGTAAAGCCTTGGGGATATGACCCATCAGGACCTGTCTGTGTCTGTGGTTGCTGTTGAGTATTGGTGGAAGTGGCGTCACTGATGATGTCCGTACCTGATATCAATATGATGAAACAAGAAATGAACAGGGTGTTGTCAAGGTATCAAGTATCTCGCTTGGTGTCACAAACTACGGAAGATTGAACACTATTCTCATTGCTGCAGTTGGTGTGTCCACAGGAGGCAGGAAGTCACTGGGGTATTAGTACTATTACATGCAGCCTCCTTTTTCAAAATCATGGCTCAACCTCGTCTCACCTCTGATGTAATTTGTTGTGGAGATATATTAAACTTAATTTCACGAAAACAATAAGCACACTAAACATTTACCTCTTCTTTGAAAATGTGAAAGAAGTGATCAATTTCTGGTAATTATGTTCCTATTCTAAAATGCTGGTCTTTGAAAATGATCCAAAATCATTTTAAAAAACACAATATATATTGAGCAGCCCATAGATACCTGCAATAATGACACAAGTTTAAAAGAGAAATACTGCAGTATTTATTAAATCTTTGTCAACTGTGTGGCAATGTATATATGACTCTTAAAAAGAGATTAAAGCTATATTCTGTTCCAGTCTTAACAATCTAGAAAATAATCTATAAATAAATGAAAATATATGTGGCTTTAACTCATGTTTGAAAACAAAACAATGAATGGAAATATGATTTTCAAATAAAAAGCACCATGGCACAGATTACATCACATTACGGCATGTTATATACCCACTGCATATTATATAGAGAGATTACAAAACGAGTGGGTGTTGAATATGGAAAATATTCCCGAGATAGATGTTGTATTTTCAAACATTTTGATTTATTCACTAGCGAAAGCAAATATTTTTAACAAGTTATTTTTGCACATATTAAGTAGTTATGACAGAGTTATCTCCCTTTCGATTTTGTTTACATTCGGTATCGTCTGCTTGATTTGTCAACGTGGATCACATTGTTTTCCCATCCTGTGTGTAATTAATAGAAACAATTAAACATATTCAATTGAAAAATAATAATTATTCCCAGGACACCAAAATTGATATGTAATTATCCACAAACCTAATGTTTTCTTTGGTTGACATTTTGTAATAAAAACTACTTGAATGGAGTCATGTTAATTCAAAATATTGAGGTGGCAACAGAAAGTTTCGCATTATTACATCACTGTCGTTGAATAACCTAGTTTGGTTACATGACACTCATTGGATAGCTTTAAACTGATTACACTGTTTCAAATAACCAAAATTATCTCAAAAAAATATTCAGTACATGTGTGCAATAAATAGAGATTATTACATGAGCAAGTGTGTCATACGACTTATACGAAACGAGTGTGAAGTTTTGTATTGCCCGAGCGAGAGCGTGGCACACTTGCGAGTGTAATAATTTCTTTATTATCCATTTTATTCATGTACATTTGTGCAGTAAAACACGGTAAGCAAGTTTGACTGCCCTGTTCATTGACGTCACGTACAGTTGTTTAATGACGTCACAGACAATGAAATACAGAAACAATGGTTGCTAGGCAAAAGTGATATGTGCACATGTGCACATATGATGTATATGACACTGGTTCTGTTTCACCATATGGATAATATTAATAAATCTGGTTATTATACCGTTGGACTAGAACAATCTCAGAACAATGAATTAATGCTTGAAGATTTAGCTTTATCACTGCCTGACAATGAAGCAATGGTTACAATGATGTTGCCTGCGTTCACTAAATGTTTGAATATTATGAGGAGTTTGAATTATATTCCTCTGTTTTCACTGCATTAATGCAGCATACATAACCAGGTGACAAGGGCTCAATAGCGTCACTATATAGATTAATTTCCAACATTTCAATATTTATCTTATCAAATCAGTTGCACATATAACATAGCTGAATGTGATTGATGTATGATGTTTAGATGACTTTCCATTTAGCCTGCGACAGTGGTTTACAAATGGAAAAAAAATTATACTATCATAATTTAAGCTCCTGACAGCAAACAAGAGCTGAGTAATGTATATTAACACTGACTTTGATGCATGTGTCATCTGGAGCTCACAGGGTAATGTGGTGACAAACAGTTGAATTTGTTAGTATTTTTACCCCTGCCCGATATGGTTTGATGTACCCCGAGGCCAACAGGGCTAACTGACGTTCTGTTCCATCTAAACATTTCACCCATTACACATTTTCTTACTGCTCAGGACAGAACATGCACATCATACGGTAGTCCCTCGTGACAAAACCATGAAGATCTGGGTTAGAATTGGTCTTCAGTAATCCATGCTTGTTGGAAGAGATGACTAAGAGAGAGGTGTGTGCGCGCACGTGTGTGCCTGTGCCTGTATGCATGCACACAAATGTTAAAATACACCAGTCCCTTACAGACCGCTGCCATATAGCCAAATTGCTGAGTGTGGTGTTAAACAACAAACCAACCAACCATCGTGACAATGTCACATGACTGCTCAGTGAGACCACTGTGGGCTAAAGGCAGATATGAAGTAAAATCAGATTAATTTCACAAGCCAAAAATATTCAGTGAGACATTTGCTTAAAAACATTTGTAACTAAAACATAATAAGCAGAAGCCGAATCATGCTGCTTGGTGGATGGGTAATGACAGATATTTGGTAAATCACATTCCAATAACATCTATTGGAGACAACTCCAAAACAATCCAACAAAATTGAAGCACTTAAAGGACCTTGTGAGACCAATGATTGACATGACAGAAATGCACCATACACCCATTATTGTTTTGAAAAAATAACATTCTCATAAAACACAGGTTAGCGATTTTATGAAAACAAACAATGCCAATTACATAGTAACTGGACTAGACAATATTTGAAGTTGTTGGTGACTTGTGATTTGTTTCATTTAGTTTTATATTTAAGACGATGATGCCAGACTACATAAAATTTAACCAAACCTGAAGAGGTTATCAATTCTTCGAAGAGAGTCGTCCTTGGGGTACATATTATGCATTTTCCACGCTGAAAATGTTCTGTGACAGTTGTATCAATGTTTTTTGAATAAAAAGATTGTACAATAAATAAACTTTTTTATTTATTATACGGCCCCCATCTCGTGTAGTTACCTCCCGTTGCGCATGGGCACCAACTGGGTAAGAACCTAGGCCTGTATCATCATTCCTTCTGCTGAATAAATCAGTGAACAGAATTGCGGGGAGGCGGGAGGCCCTACCCCAAGGATGACTCTCTTCGAAGAATTGAAAACCTCTTCAGGTTTGGTTAATTCTTCTTCATAGAGATCGTCCTTTGGGGTACATATTATGCATAAACACAGACTCCCAAAGACCGGAGGCCAGGGAGAAGGGAATTCTGTCCAAGCACATACAAATAGCTATCGTTAATTGAATAATGTAACAGACGCCATAACACTCACCTGTCACATGTCCCAGTTTTCGCTTCCGCGAGAGGCATTATGGGAGGGGAACTGACAGGGAGGATTTGTACTCGAAGACGACCTCAGAGGTTCGCATAGTAATTCGCACATGGTGCGAAAGGTAAACAAAGCCCCACCCACCATGTGTCGATTAGTGAGCACCGTAGGGGGGAATGTCAAAACGCTCACAACCGACCTAAATACTCCGTAGAGGATCGAAATGAGGTTATGTAGCTCCCAGCAGCGGATATGTCAATAAAACTCAGTATTGATACAGCAGCGTCAACAAAAAACCAATAAACCAAGACTCACCCGGTCAGGGTGGCAGGACACTGTCCACTGGAGAGAACAGAACAGCCAAAGCTCACACGATTACGGGAATGCGTATCGAGCTGATAATGCCGAATAAACGTGCTAGGCCTGCTCCAAATAGCGGCAGAGCAGATCTCTTCAATGGGTAGTGCCGATGCAAAAGCTTTTGATGCGGCTACTGCCCTGACCGAGTGAGCCTTCAACCCCTCAGGGGGAGGCTTGCCCTTAGCCTGATAAGCAGCACAAATACACGAAACTAGCCAGCGAGAAAAAGTCTGCTTGCTCGCCGGCACACCAGCCTTCCCGCCACCGTAACAACAGAACAGCTGGGTACCTGTACGGATTCCCTGCGTTCGTTTGATATAGACCTTGAGTGTCTTACGGACATCCAACGGGTGAGTGCTCGTTGCAGAGGTCCCCGATGTGGAAGGCTGGGTAAGAGTGGGAAGTTCGATAGGAGCTGTCACATGGAAAGTGTGATCGACCTTTGGGCGTGCATTATCCGGAGGGCGAATACTGACTCGATCAGTGTGAAACACAGTCAGCGCCGGGTCGGACGACATAGCATGTAAATCGCCGACCCTACGCCCAGATGTTACCGCCACCAGAAAAACAGCCTTCCAAGTTAACAACTGAATGGAAATAACCGATAGGTGTGAGAAAGTGGGACCGGACAGCCAATCGAGCACAATTGACAAATCCCAAGGTGGGCTGGTTCGCCTGACAGCAGGTCGAACCCGATCCGCGCCAGCTAAAAAGTGCTGTACGAGAGGGTGCTGCCCCAGAAGAGCACCATCGACAGGGGTGTGAAAGGTGGAAATAGCGGTTGAGTAGCCATGAATGGTCGAAGCCGCCAGGCCTTCTTCCAAACGGGCTTGCAAAAACTCCAATACTCAGACTAAATCCGCAGAAAAGGGATCTGTAATCCCCCTATCTGAACACCAGCGCGCATAGCGGGACCACCTATCCTCATACTGAACATTTGTCGAATCCTGCCTCGAAGCCAGAATTGTGTCTGCAACTGCTGCAGGAATTCCGCGTGCTTCAAGGCTAGACCTGACAGAGGCCAAGCCACCCATTGAATCCTTGGATTGGGGTGGGGCGCTCCGTTCTGAGTGAGAATGTACGGTCGTAAAGGTAATAGAACAGGAGGCTGAGCCAGAAACCTGAGAATTACTGGAAACCAGCTCTGTGACGGCCAAAGCGGTGCCAGTAGCACAAGCAGCCGAGCTGGCTGGGTGGACAGCTGTGAAAGGACACGGGGAATGAGTGGTAACGGCGGGAACGCCCAGAGCACTTTGCCCGTCCAATCCAGCAGGAAGGCGTCGGCAGCCAACATCCTCGGGTCCGGTATTCGAGAGCAGAACACGGGTGTCTGATTTGTCCCGCCGGACGCAAACAGATCCACCTGGAACGACCCGTACAACTGGGAGATAACTCCAAATATCTGCCGGTCGAGCATCCACTCGTGCGGGGCCAGGATCCGGCGAGAGAGCGCATCTGCTCACACGTTCTCCAGCCCCGGGAGATAAACAGGGAGTACCTGACAATTGCACTTGTTGCACCAGAGGAGAAAGTCACAAGTCTCCCGGAGGAGCACTCGGGACACCGTGCTGCCTTGCTTCAGGATGTACGACATGGCCGTCTGGTTGTCCAACTGAAGACGAACCACCTGGCCCTGGACATGCTCTCGAAGCGCACTCGAAAACCAACCGCACAGCTCTCAGTTCCAACACGTTGATGTGAAGGTGGGCTTCGGCTTCGGACCAGAGTCCGGACACCGACACACTGTCTGAAAATGAAAATGAAAATTCAGACTGTGTCACAGGCCATGCATACCAACAGTATTGCTAATATATTACGTCCTGTGAAACGCAGAAATACGTGTAACAATATGAATGAGGGGTGGTTGGAGTTGTAGGCATAGACATAACCTTCTCAGCGTCCTCCAGCCTCAACAACCTCCTCCATGCCAACGGAAGAAAACAACCCACCGTCAACAACAACAGCCCGAAATGTGTTATTTACAAAATAAACTGTGATTGTGGACAATGCTACATAGGTGAAACATCCGACCCATCAACACCCGAGTCAAAGATCATCGCACCTCTGTTGCTAATTCCGACACCAAATCAGCTATCTCTGACCACATCAAAGCTAACCCCAATCATCAAATAGAGTGGTCCGACATCACCATTCTCGCCAACAACCAAACGGACTTCACTAAACGCAAGCTCACAGAAGCCATTCACATCAAACGCCACAAGCCCACCATCAACCGTGACCAAGGATACTTCATTCCATCAGCTTATGATCCACTCCTCCACCAAGCCCAATCTATTGTATAAACATCGCATCTATTGTATAAACATCTCATTGTAACTACATCTCTGGCTTCCATTCACTATCCTTTATGTACTCACTGGCTTCATCAGCTTACTGCTTAGCCAATCATGGCAATTATGTTGTTTCCTTTGTCTATTATGTTGTTTCATTGTTATATACAGTATATATATGCAGCTCCTACACTTCATGTATCACTCTTGCTTGACAACGGTACAAGAATCTGTATCGAAACGTCGCACTCACGAAATAAAGAAGTTGTTATCCATAAAACTTGTTCTATATATACGTCTCAACTTCTAAAATGCCACTCAAACAAGTTATATACTACTTGCACGGTAGATTTATAGGCATTCACAGTTTGAGATTGTATTTTACATGTACTAATACCAAGACAACAACAAATATTATATTTTATCTGCACACAATACTTCTAGTGTATAAACTACATTGTTGGATTTGTCTCTCTTCACGTTTGCACATAATCCATAGACAAGTGTAGACTTTGCAGCTGTGTATGACTTGTGCGTTAATTATTTCCTGGGTGATGGCCACTACACTGATGGTATTTGCAATTTCGTAAGCTGTTGAAATGTGCAGATTTCAATTTCAGATGTATTTTTCATAAATATATTGCATGCCACTGATTTACATGATATCGACCAAACAGGTGTACTCAAGTCCAAGGTGGGTCATGACAAACACTTACTCCTGTCCTACCTGACACACCCACCCACACGATGTGATGTACTCAACTCCATGGACCACACAATTTATAAAGGCACAGTGAGTCATGAGCTGGATTTACAACACTATTTTGAACCACTATATCAATGTAAATTTGAACAGTAGAACAGTTACATGAGAATGGTTAAAATAATTTGCAATTTGAGTGTTATCCAAAGCTAATAATAATTCCTCAATTACCATCACTAATATGAATTAATACCAATGGTAACCACCCCAAAGAAAGAGGTCTACAAGCCCGTTTAAGATTATCAAGCTGACTCTATGACGTTTTTAAACTAACTGTTCAAATAAAGGCAGTTTGTGTGGGCCTTATTAAATACAGCAACAAATTCATTTAACTTTATAGCTATTAACACTGGGAAATAACTCACTTGGTAAATGTTTCGCATAAAAACATCATTAAAAGTATCAAACTTCTTAAAATATCTTTACATGTATAACATATTGGTGGAGTATTTATCTGTGATCAGACATTATGCTACTTTGCTTGTGTGTAATGTTTTTAGCAACTTGATAAAAACGTATGCACATAATTATATCATTAATATTATAAGATATTTATATAGCACACATATTCATGCAACTAGTACTTGCTCAAGGCACTGGAGTATTCCCTTGATCAAAGGATGTCTTTTTTCTGGCATTCTGTTTTTTTTAACCAATTCAACTCACTGGGGAGTATTCAACTCACACAGCCTGTTAAGCGCAGCAAGTTATCAAACAGCTTGATCTTCACAAAGTTCCCATTTGCAGCTGGGTGAACTGGGACATATGGTCACTGTACTTTGTCCAATGATACTGCATATTACTATACCCGCAACTAGGTATCTGCACATATTTACAGGGTTCGACACTCATGCTTGTCCGCTTGCCCGTGGCAAGTACTAATTAATCAGGGCAAGTAAAATTGCTAAAAGGCTTGCCCGAGTGGCAAGTACATATTTTGTCAACTTCTAACCTCAATTCACTGTGTGGTAGTGTTTACAAATTGCCAAAATTGGCTGGGACTGATTTCCTTTTACCATCACGAGCGACGTGGTTGGTTGTTTAGTTTCAATGCAAACTCCTTGTCTCGCTAACGTGTAACATGGGGCAAGTAGTATCTGTGATGGGCAAGTAGTTCAACTTTTCTACTTGCCCTCTTGGCAAGTGGGAGAAATCAGTGAGTGTCAAACCCTGATTTATGTGCCTACCATCTGGCCACCTGCCATCGGCTGAATAGGTTCTTTTAAGTGCACATGGTTGTGTACTGCACACTGGGGATTGTGACAACACTGAAATGTGTAAATGTAATGTTAGCTCTAAGGTTTTCACACCCGGTCACAAGTGGGGATCAATCCAGGCACCTTTCGCATACTACTATTACCAATTAGGTCGCTCAGCCAGGTATGACGACGAACCATCGACTCACCTGGCATGAAATGCACGTGCTGCCTACAGGCACAAGGGGTCATCTCAAAGATATTTTGTGCTTTTTCACGTGTGTTGACTATACCTCTTCTATTGATTAACATTTTACGTGTCTTTCTTTCATGAAGTTTATGTTAAGATATGTAAAAGAGTATGATACCTGATAACCAAAGAGACTCATCGTATTGAATGTATGAGGTGGCATGACCACCCGATCGCGAAGATCGACACGACTGGATATTATTTGCAAAATGTTATGACATGCCGTGTACTTCCCAAGTATAATTGCCCTGAAGGATTATCTTATCTTAGCTGATATCTCTATCCCAAAGCCAGACCCCAACGATTGTTTGTGACACCCGTCCAGGTTTTGCTTTTGAGACAAACCCTCCTATCTGTTTCCTTTTATAGTGACAGTGAGACTCCATGGTAGCTACATCCTTAATAAATTCAGCATTAAAAGTTATTATTTTTCACGCCAGCTATCGTTTATATGAAGCTACGTCTAATTTCAAATTGGGCATTTAAAAAGTGTCCTTTGTAATACAATATTGTCGCACACTAATTTGCATAAAGCAATGGTCCGTTCCAAATAAATCGCTTTGGACTTAGAAAAAAAAAACATTGCTCATTTCTGCACTAATCTCTCCTCAGTAAAGTCCTTTTTCTACGTTTCTATGTCCATACAACTGAGACTTGTAGTTAGGCCAAACTTAGTTTAACAGATATTTCACACTTGCACATATCAACTACATAAATTGTAGAGATAAATGAGAAAATACAGTTTTTTTCTATTTCCGACAGTACTTTAGCATCCATTTTACTGGAGATTCCTTCTCCTGAGTTGCCTCCCTTTATTTTAATCAGACAATACACCAACATTTAGTAATTTAACCAGGACTTTTCGTAAACAGCCATCAGTACAGATTGAGCCATTTGGCAGCAGTGATTGGCTAATTTTGTGTAATACTTTTATGTCCTATACATGTACATCCGTCCAGTAATTAAAGTTGATCATGTTTTTCATTATTTCTTTCAGTCTTTTTACAGTCTTTTATTAACATGATAAGTTATGCTGAATTTGAAGAAACATATTTTAATGCAGGAAAAATTTAGTACATACCTGCAGAAAAATGACTCCAAATCCGCCATAGCTGACCACACCAAAGCCAACCCTGACCATGCCATCCTATGGAACAACATCGATATCCTAGAAATCAACCGACAAGACTACAAAATTAGGAAACTCCTTGAAGCCACAAACATCCAACGCCACAACCCCACCATGAATCGAGATCAAGGTTATTTCATCTCGTCAGCCTATCACCACCTAATCAAAGACCACCACCAGTAATCCGTCCCTACCTCCTTTGTCCATCTGGCTTCCATGCTCCCTCCTTTGTGCTTGTAATCACAACTATTGTACGTCAACTCATCAATTGTATAAACCCAACTCTAATCACAATCAATCACTCTGTACATCAACCTCCTGCTGTAATCACTTATCAAATACCCAATGTACATCAACCTTGTTAATTGTATATACTCACTATACAGCTATGTATATATTCTCCTTGCTTCAGTTGTTGTATCACTTGCTTGATAACGGTGTTAGTACCTACACCGAAACGTCGCACTCATTGCAATAAAGAAGTTTACTGTTATAAGATAGTTTCCAATTGTTTTTCTGATAATTTCTCAGGTGTGCACTTCAACCCCATGAAATGTATGTTGTCGGGTAGGAAAATTTTGGAGAGTGATATCGTGTCTTCGCTGGTGACAGTGACTCCCTGCAGACTGGTGTGGGAATCAGCGTTCACCTGCACGTAAACAGAGCAAACGTGGTATTCTTGTTGTTTAGTCCACTGGAGTTTGATTCCTTTCACCATTTCGACTTCACGTGATGGGGGTTCACCGAGGTAGACTTGCATGATCAGCGTGGAATTCTCCAGTATATTTTCCAGGGTGTCGACCACGCTGTCGAATTCAGACACCATTTGCAATCCCACGTTTTGCGTGCCAGGTTTACGCGATAGCGTGTGGGCGATTGTACTTGAGAGTGCGCTGACGATCACACTGCGTCTACGCGTCGAGACGTAAGCCACGAGCAGGGTTCCGTTGTTCACGACTTTGTTTATGTAGTGGTCTTTGTTTTCTGTGAACACGTAAGGAGAGACGAGCGTGATGTTGAGAATCCAGTCGATTCGAGATTGTACCAAACCCCATTTGTTGTCGTTGGTGAGTGAACAGCTTGTTTCGAGCGACGACCACAGTCTCGACGCAATCTAGGTCGAACAGTTTGCTGCCGAACGCTGGGTATATTATCCATTTATCCTCACCATTGCAGACTAGGTCGTACTGAGTGTTGCTGTTCGCTCCGTGGTGTTGACGATATCACTTAAGTTACTGCTGAATCCACCGCATTTGTAAATGTTATTTTTCAGTTGCAAGGCGTACAGTTTACCGTCTATTCCTGGTTCATCAAATCCGCGAGTGTCCCCCGAGGTCGGAGATCGCTAGGTTGGCACATTTTCTTAATCACGTTCCTGGACCGTGAGCGTCAGTCATTATAGTATGTGCAGTGTTATGCTGAGGTATCCTATATTAATAGAATTATTTTTATATCTAAAATGCATATGTTTAATTCCCGAGATGGTGCCTCGGATTAATTTCTTGTACTGCCGCGATGAAACCGATTCGATTCTGCAGGCTCTCAGCAGTGTAGAAGGGCGTTTGCCTTGAATGCTGTCCGTCATGCTCAGCTGATCAAGATGAATGCACAGTTCGCGGTATGGAACTGGGTTGGGTAATTCCATGCCCGTGATGGTGTTTGTCGGTGGTATTTCATTCGGCCACAACCCGAGTGTTCTCGCCAACGGCCGGCAGAGTCGCAAGACGTTTTTTTCCGTTGTTGGTTAACACGACTGTGCCGTTTGAGTCGTAAATGTTGAGTTCGGCCCCCACGGGTTTCGAAGACTTCATCACTGAGCGAGCAGACACTGTAGTAGCCGTCAGTTATGTGGTTACGTTTGTCATTAATGAACAGCCTGTTGTTGCTGCTGTTGATGTTGGTCCATCGTGGTAGGTAGGTGATATCACAGAGTGCGACTTCGAGTTGATCCCACATGTAATCGATCGTGTGCATCAATTGAACAGACTCGTCCCTCGTTATTCCTGGACGTGTTACGTTCATATTAAAAGATATATGTACATTATATAATAAGTTTAAAATGTACAAACCGGGAGTGATTTACCCTAAAATGGATATATATTTCACGAACATGAAGATCGTGGTCGAAGTAAAAGACGGTTTACATTTCAGAGCCCAGTTTATTGATGTGTTTAAAAATTACAGGGTTTCGGTGATGAATGTGAAAACGGTGCACGCTTGGTTTAACAACACGATGCAGTTCTGGCAGAATCAATTCAATTTCGCCGTGTGGTGCGCGACAATTAGTGCGGCTTGATGTTGAGAGACACTCGGCGTGATGCGTTGAGTAGGTCTGTGTTTATGTTTCACGTGTACTATCAGATCAGACATATCCTCAAAGAAATCAGCGCTCCACTTCCACAGGATAAAGGGTGGAATGCAGTAAACAATCCGTACGATTGACGGGCATACGAAAGAATTTGCAACAAATTCTAAATCCATCAGAAGACGGATTGGCGTTTGCCGGGTCCAAACCATGGTTTAGGTATTCCCATTGTTCACAACATGCTTCTTGTGGAAGCCAGCAAACTGCTGGTGAAAGATTGGGGTTACAAGTCATATCAATGATGAACGAGTGGAATGACGATTACATGGCTTTCTACAACAGCAAAGATTACCGCGTTTGGAGGTTTGAGCAGGGACCCGCAGATGATTGTAAAATGTTTATGCTGGACACGTCGAAAGGGTTTACTTGTGCCTGTATAATACGTTTGAATGATTCGATTCGAACATACGTGTCGGCGCTGGTGGGTGCGCAGGCGCAAACGCGTTTCAGCATCCTGGGTAAAGGGACTGCTTACGACGCGCAGAAACAGTTCGTGTCCAACGTCGAGGATGCTATCACTGCTCCAGTTGATCTACCGAGTGCCATCCAACGCTATCAAAACATGTTGGAATACGCCCGGTCGACTGTCGACTACGTGTTCGGCGCGGGATTGTATATGGCTCCGAGCGACATGCAACTGAGAATCCTTAAAGTGGTTGGGCTACAACAACGAACTCGTCATCGCCACCACCGATTAAAAGTTGGGTATCAACCAGTACACCAGTCCGGCCACAGCGACGATGAAAGCCCACAGGTTTTGACCGAGCCACGTGACAGTTTTCGACAGCATACTCAGCAGCCACGAGACAATACTACTCAGGATTCACGGAAGCGCTTCTGCGGCTTTACCTGCAAGTTTAGCCAGGGCTTCGCCAAGAGATTTCAAATGTTTTTTTATCCAGTCTCTGATGTCGCCGCTTGGTGGTGGTGTTGGTGGCGTGCCACTGCTGCCACCCGTCAGCGATACGACCAGGGTCGATATGATGAAACCCAATGCCGTAAGAACGCTGGCAATGGTAATGCCTTGTTCCCGGAACAGAGTTCGAATCCTGTCAGCCAACGTGGTGTCCTCATGGAGGACTCAGTCGATGGTTTCTCGCACGCGACTTGATTTGGGTTCAAAGGGCTTCTCGGTTGGTGGAAGCGGCTTCTATTCGAGCCAGTCTTTCCTCTTGTAAGTCGCGTAATCTCTCCTCGATACGACACCTGCTGATCTCATCATCGTCATCCGCTTGTTCGCGTATTGTCTTCTTGTAAGCAATATGTCTGGAGCATTCAGTTTGGCGACGTTATTGACCCGTGATCCGCGCATGGTTTGCATGGCTTTGTCTAACCCCCGCAGTTCGCGAATGCTGTAAGGGGTTTCATTCATCGAGGACAGTATGTTGTCGAGTCCGTCTTGAATGTTTCTCAGATCGTCTCGATCCAACATGGCGCCGACTTCGGTTCGAGTAATCTATCATGTTTAATTCGTTGCGGATTAGTTGATTCACGCCACGGCGATTGGCGAACGTTGACAAGGCAAGCGGTTTTCTCGTGTGTTTGTTCATGAGATCGACCTCCTGATGAGCTTTCAATTGCAGCGTCCTTTCGTTGCCAATTTCGAACTTGGAATAGTCTCGTCCCAACTGTTTGATGTCATTTTTATCTCGCCCCAATGCGTTGTAATATTCGTCTACGGCCTGCTTTAAAAGTTTGTTGCTAACGGTGTCGCCCAACATTGAGGTGTCCAGCTGAGACTGGTCGGTGAAATTGGTCATTTCGATATCGTCCATTATATTAATTATATTAACCCTTTCAACACCGCAGGCCGAATAATCGGCCACGACGTCATGAGTCCCCAGACACCGCAGGCCGATTATTCGGCCACAGAAATCGTATACCTTTCAACACCGGAGGCCGTTTAATCGGCCAGCGCGTCTTGATGTAAACAACATATGTTTCTACATCCGTTTCTCGCTGTAAAAGGTCAGGTGACAGTCTAAAACTAGATTTGAGGCATTATGGGATGTTGATGACGAAATTTCCTTTCTTTTTCGCGGGAAAATTGAACAGGGAGGTATACTTTTTCCGAGGTGAGTTTTCGCGTTGCGATTTGATTTTACCACTCTTGCGTAATGGCTGCCAGTCATGAATCGGATAGCGACGAGTTTTCGGACAACGATTTCATTGATGATGTAGGTGGTTTTGATTTAGTTGAACTAAATGCCGATGCTGAACTTGAATTTCGCGAACTTTTCGGAGACTCGGATGACGACGACGACGATTTTGCAGGTTTCATGGAATATTTTCCACCAGACTTTTCTATGTGGGTTTGGAAAAAGGATTACGATGGTGGGCGTGACCGCAAGGAATTTGTGAGTGAAACTGGTCCCGTTAGGGTTGATTTGCCTGAAGACAGGCGCAATTCTATTGGTTTTTTTCAGTTGTTTTATTCAGATGATGTGTTTGAACAAATAACATCGGCAACAAATGACAACGCGAACAACAAACGGACCCGAGATCCTGACAACAACAAAGGTGAGTGGCACGATGTTACTGTTGAAGAAATGAAAGCTTTCTATGGTGTCTTACTGTACATGGATGTTGTCAGGCTTGACAGGGATGAAATGTACTGGCATTCTGGCTCTAGTTATACTTGGTTGAAATTTCCAATTAGTGAAGTGTTTTGTAGAACCAGATTTGTTCAAATCAAGAGGTATTTACATTTCAATGATGACACACCTGTGCCTGGTGACAAATTGTTCAAGGTCAGGTATATTCTTGATACCATGAGAACAGCTTTTCAGAGTCATTACAGACTTCACAAGCAGGTGTCAGTGGACGAGGCTATGGTTCCTTTCAAGGGCAGGCTTAGTATCAAGCAATACATGAAGGACAAGCCTACCAAGTTCGGAGTGAAAGTCTGGGTATTGGCGGACTCCGTCACCGGGTATTGTTGGAATTTTGATGTCTATGCTGGTAAGTATGGAACTGAAATTGACCGCAAGCTAGGCCTTGCTGGACAGGTAGTTATCAAATTGTGTGAAAACATAATGAACAAGGGTCATGTCATCTTCACTGACAACTTTTATACCAGTGGTACTCTTGGTGATTATCTGTTGCAGAAAGATACCTACCTGTGTGGCACAGCTCGTACCAACAGGAAGGGCTACCCCACCGTTGATCTCCCGTCAGGTAAGGCAGCAAACCGACTGCAGAGAGGCACCATCGACTGGCGGCTTGTGGGGACTTCGTTGCAACGATGTGGAAAGACAACAAGCCTGTTTTCTACCTCAGCACGGCACACTCTCCCGAGGAAGGCGGTTTGACAACGAAAAGGAGGAAGAAGGACGGGTCGCAGGAAATCCTTCCCAGCACACCATGTGTGAAGGATTATGGAAAGTATATGGGAGGGGTTGATAAGTTAGACCAGAACACTCGCCAAAATAAAAGCAAAAAAACTATGAGATGGTATAGACGTGTTGAGGTGAAGTTAAGAGAAATTGCCATTTACAATGCCTATGTGATTGAAGGGACCATCGTCAACCACACGCCTGATGGGAAGCGAAAGCGTGACATGCTGGCCTTCAAGCTTGAGCTGCTGCATCAACTCATCGGAGGGTACCGCCAGGACAGGAGGCAGCCAGGTCGTTCCAGATCAGAGACATCGTTGGAGCAGGAACGCTTGGATGGGAACGGTCACTGGCCAGTGCCGTCAGGTAGTGTGGACACCCGGTGTGTGGTTTGTGTCAAGATGCACACTGCGTATAGTGTACAGCACCCAGGTACAAAGTATGCTGACAATCCTTTCAAACGAGTAAAGTCATCAATTAAGTGCTCAAAGTGCAATGTCCCTCTGTGTGTAAGTACCACAAAGTCATGCTTTATGAACTACCACACTAAAGTGTAGTATTGGCGGTAAGTTGTTTGTCCTGTAGACAAGCATGAAAGGTTTGAAAGCTGCTGTTCATGAAATCTCCACTATTTACCATTGCTTATCATTGTGTGTGTACATATTGATATATTTATTTATTTATTTATTTATTTATTTATTAATTACTATTTATCCATATTCATTGAATATTTACAGTTATGTTTCTGTTGTCATAAATTATTTTTGTACAGATTTCTTTGTGTATATATGGTGCTATATTTATTGTCTTCCTTTTCAAACTCATCTCTTTTCTTTCATTTCTTCAGGCAAAAAGTGAGTATCTTTTCTTTCATTTCTTCAGGCAAAAAAAGTGAGTATGGGGGTGGTGTGCCTGTGATTGATTACAATATATTTATTGCATATTTACACTTGTTATGTTTCTGTTGTCATGATTTTTGTACAGATTTCTTTGTGTATATATGGTACTATATTTATTGTCTTCCTTTTCAAACTCATCTCTTTTCTTTCATTTCTTCAGGCAAAAAGTGAGTATGGGGGGTGGTGTGCCTGTGATTGATTACAATATATTTATTGCATATTTACACTTGTTATGTTTCTGTTGTCATGATTTTGTACAGATTTCTTTGTGTATATATTTATTGCAATACTATATTTATTGTCTTCCTTTTCAAACTCATCTCTTTTCTTTCATTTCTTCAGGCAAAAAGTGAGTATGGGGGGTTGTGTGCCTGTGATTGATTACAATATATTTATTGCATATTTACACTTGTTATGTTTCTGTTGTCATGATTTTTGTACAGATTTCTTTGTGTATATATGGTACTATATTTATTGTCTTACTTTTCAAACTCATCTCTTTTTTCTTTCATTTCTTCAGGCAAAAAGTGAGTATGGGGGGTGGTATGTCCCTTTTAATGTAGTTTTAACAAACTTGATAGCAAATTACACCTTTGCTAAGTGTTTACATGTGTTCTTTTTGTGATTCTAGGTAAAAAGTGTGTCAACAAAGGGAGATAATCCACCTTCACCACACCTGCAAATGAAGCCATGTGACTTACCTGTGCCATGTAGTGATGGAAAACATTCTTATCTGCACTGACATTGTATGATGTTTGATAATAAATTAATTTATGTTGCCCTTTTGTGTTTTCTTGTCTTTTTTTCACTTGGTCCTGCAAACCATCGCAAATGAGATGATCTTTCAGGTGAGTTGCTGCTGCATAATAATACCTCTTCATTATTCTAGAATCTAATATAATATTCCTTTATATCAAAAGCATTAATATGTTAACTATTTAACTTGAAAAACTCAAAATATCCCCTGTTATATCGTTTCAGGTGAAGAAAAGGGTGATGTCAAAGGGAGATAATCCACCTTCACCACACCTGCCAATCAAGCCATGTGACTTACCTGTGCCATGTAGTTATGGAAAACATTCTTATCTGCACTGACAATGTATGATGTTTGATAATAAACTAATTTATGTTGCCCTTTTGTGTTTTCTTGTCTTTTTTTCACTTGGTCCTGCAAACCATCGCAAATGAGATGATCTTTCAGGTGAGTTGCTGCTGCATAATAATACCTCTTCATTATTCTAGAATCTAATATAATATTCCTTTATATCAAAAGCATTAATATGTAAACTATTCAATTTGAAAAACAAATAAAATTCCCTGTTATATCGTTTCAGGTGAAGAAAAGGGTGATGTCAAAGGGAGATAATCCACCTTCTCCACACCTGCCAATCAAGCTACGTCACTTACCTGTGCCATCTAATGATGGCAAAATACATAAAGCCTATCTACTTTGCATACTATATGATAATATAATGATATATTTCAGCTCACTGTCAAATTTGCTTTTTTACTTACCTGGACTAACGAGTTTACCTGAGGTAACAGATACCTCTTGTGCATGCACCAAGGCCCCTTAGAAATGTTGTGTTGTTGTTCCATTGCAAAATATAATAGCAACAAGTAAAGTAGCAGTCATATGACAAAAGAGCAAACAACTGTTAAAAGACATATAATTGTATTTTTTGATTTCAGTGAAGCATTTCTGCACCTGTATGACACGTCTCACCTGTACAACACCTGGATCAACTCGCTTACTATGGATGCCCAAAGATCAGAAGACACTATTTATTGCCTGTTATCGCATTTTTTGTGACAATATATATATTTATTTCTTCACTTTCTGTTATGTTGTCTGTTTTTCTCTGATTGCTCACCTGTGATTACCTTTAATTAAAAAACAGTAGAAATAGAAACATTAATTTATTTATTTTCAAATCCTACATGGATGTGGCATTCCAACGATACCAAACATGTTGGTGTTGTCCCAAATATAAAAATACTTGAACACTTTTTAGAAAGAGGTATATTTTCATTGGCAAGTCTCTGGGAACTTGGTGTACAGGCATTCAATGCCTGTGGGAACTTGGTGTGTCAAAGGGAAATAACTCCGGTTGGCTGGTGTTGAAAGAGTTAAACGTGTATATTTTTATATATATAATGTCAAAATACGGAAGAAAGCTAGATCCTTTTTGAAGATTAAGAGAGCCTCTTGGCATTAAAGCCGTACGTCAGTCGGTGACTATCACCAATAATCCGAACAAGATAGATCAAAACCAAACGCTGTTGGTTCGATTCCCCAACCTGGGCGGGAATGACCTTATGGTTCCTGGCATTTAACATCGCATAGACTTCCAGCAACGACAAACGCGAACTCGTGCGGATCATCGGTCGTGCCATTATAAAAAAAAACACCATCAAAATCAGCGGAAAGCGAGGGTGAACGTAATAATGATGTGTATCAAGGTATCAGTAAATCGACTCACGCAAGACCAGCTTGACAAAATCCCGGCGGACAAAAAAGCCATCACCGAAGCGTACGGAAACCGGTTTCGCGAGCCGCTCGACTTCGAGTTGCTCACTGGACATGCACCATTTTACCAGGCCGCGCTGGGCGATCGGTTGGAATACAAACTCACGTTTAATGAGTACAGCAAAGTCCTGTGTACACCGAACGGCGATGCTGGTAGTTACGCCATCGACAACATCTTGCTGGAGCTCGGAGCTGGCCCGACAGATTCGAAACCAGTACTCGGGAAAGCTGTCCATCGAGTCCTGCGGCACCGGATGGTCGTACAGGACAAGAGCGACACGCTGTGGAACATCAACTTGAACGTGCCGTCGCGATCGATGAAAGGTTTCTTGATCGTTCCTGTGGAGGATTACGAGCCGTTTCGAAGAGACAGCGAAATGTTTTTCAACGAAATCACGAAAGTGGAAGTAACCATCTAGGGCATGCCCAACCAACTTTTCAGCCAAGGCATGAGGGCACACCAGCAGTGGGACGAGGTAAACAAGAGTCATCAGAAGATGACATATCCCCCCGGCCCCCACAAATTTGAAAGAACAAATCATCTGACAGTTACTTAAAGTCCAGCTTGATTTTCTTTTAGACTAAGTCCAAATTGTTTCCATGGAAATCATGAGTAATATACATGCCAAAAATCTGTAAATAGCAACAAGAGTCATCAGAAGATGACATATCCCCCCGGACCCCACATCTTTGAAAGAACAAATCATCTGACAGTTACTTAAAATCCAGCTTGATTTAAGACTAAGTGCAAATCGTTTCCATGGAAATCATGACAAAAATAAATGACAAAAATCTGCAAATAGCAAAAGGCACCACTTTGGGATCTGCCTCACATATCTGCCAAGTTTTGCTGAAAGATATTAAGAAGTTTTCGCGTTGTGCTCCGGAAACGAAACCCATCCCTCCTTTTGAGACTAAGTCCAAAATGTTTCCATGGAAACCAAGAAAAATAAAAATGCCAAAAATCTGTAAATAGCAAAAGGCACCACTTAAGGTTCTGTTTGATATATCTACCAAGTTTTGTTGAAATATATTGAACGGTTCTTGAGTTATACTCCGGAAACGAAACCCACCCGCCGTTTTGGGATTAAGTCTGAATCGTTTCCATGAAAATTGGGAAAAATAATTTTGCAAAAATTCTGCCAAATAGCAAAAGGCACCACTTCAAGATCTGCATGAGATATCTGCCAAGTTTTGCTGAAAGATACTGAGAAGTTTTCGAGTTGTGCTCCGGAAACGAAACCCACCCCTTCCTTTTGAGACTAAGTCCGAATCATTTCCATGGAAACCGAGAAAATAATAATTCACAAATATCTGCAAATAGCAAAAGGCACCACTTTGGGATCTGCCTCACACATCTGCCAAGTTTTGCTGAAAAATATTGAACGGTTCTTGAGTTACGCTCCGGAAACGAAGCCCACCCCTCACTTTTGGAACTAAGTCCGAATCGTTTCCATGAAAACCGGGAAAAATAGAAGTGCCAAAAATCTGCAAATAGCAAAAGGCACAACTTTAGGATCTGTTTGATATATCTATCAAGTTTTGTTGAAAAATATCGAACAGTTCTTGAGTCATGCTCCAGAAACGAAGCCCACCCCTCACTTTTGGGACTAAGTCCGAATCGTTTCCATGGAAACCGGGAAAAATTAAAAAGCCCAAAATCTGCAAATAATAAAAAGGCACCACATAAGGTTCTGTTTGATATATCTACCAAGTCTTGTTGAAAAATATTGAACGTTTTTTGAGCTATGCTCCGGAAACGAAGCCCACCCTTCTTTAAGACTAAGTCCAAAACGTTTCCATGGAAACCAAGAAAAATAAAAATGACAATAATCTGTAAATAGCAAAAGGCACCGAAAAAGGCTTGCGAGGTGGGATTTCCATGGCCTCCAAACGCTATGCGAAAGCCAACAACAAGTACGTGAAAAACTATAATCCGAATCAACCCACCACCCATATCCTCTATCGCGACGCCAACAACCTGTACGGCTGGGCCATGAGCCACATGGTCGATCAAAACTTACAACATAGATAAAGTGGGTATCAAAGACGACTAACCGAACTTGTACTATTTGAAAGATGGGCCGCTGAGAGGTTTCGTCAGAGAGGAATTATTGATCATACCTGACAACACAATGTTACCACCGCTCAAACAGTAGCAATTCAGTGATCACTAAAAAAAACCTCTTCAGTCCATCTTTATGGTCTCCCATTATCCATTAAATATGTCAACATAAACTGATTCACCAATATCTGGCATATTAAAAGAAAGATATCACCCAGGACAATTACTCGCACGCGATTAACGTGTGGAATAAACTTGGCTGCAAGAATCTGGGTGATTACCACGACCTGTACTTGAAAACAGACGTACTCCTGTTGGCTGACGTGTTCGAGATATTCAGTCCTTCTATATGGT